GTGGTGGTTGTCAAAGATGAAATCGCCGATGTTAAAAAAGTTCAAATATTTCAAAAACAATCCACTTTATATAATAGTTCTAGAATGTTTAATCTTTTAGGTTTGGACTTTTGATCAAAAAATTGTTTTACCATTGACTTGATTAGTCACTAATTTGTCTATAAGTCTTTGTTGTGGATTTGAACAGATTGATGGGGATTTTTTTTTTTTTTCAAGCTTTTTCAGGAATATTATTGATTTTCTTTTATCAAAAATAGTAGGGATTTATGAATAAAATGTTTTACACATAGATAGTGGTTTTAAAACAAAAATCTTCACTGAAAATAAGATAAAGAAAATTGTTTTGGTCCTATTATTAAAAGTTGTTGGATATGATGATTTGGTTAGTGGAGTAAATCCCTATACTTTTTTACTTGTATCACCAAATCGGTGTGCTATACAATTTTTTTGTCTACCTAGTGTGAGTCAATAGTACTGTTCATTTTCTTTTCCAAAAAGAAGATAAGCATAGATTTTTTGTATATATAGTTTATAGTGTTGTTTGGTGAAATGATAATAGTAGCATGTGCAAAAAAAGGAAATCAAAAGTCTCACTCATGTACTCCACTCACTAGCATTTTCTATATAATGACATGATTCATGGTAGTGAAAGGCCACACAAACAAATCCTTTTACCACTAAAACAAAAAGACCAATGTCCAATTCAAATCAACCACTTCTTTCCAAACCAAAGTCTCTTCACAACAAGAATCTATGCCTTGTCCTCTCCTTTGTAGCCATTCTTGGCTCGGCAGCTTTCTTCACATCCCAACTTATCTCCATTAACACCACTAATGATGAGTCCTTGTTAACCACGAGCCAGATCTGCCATGGAGCTCACGACCAAAACTCGTGCCAAGCTCTTTTGTCCGAATTCACGACGTTGTCGCTCTCAAGGGTCAACCGTCTTGACCTATTGCACGTGTTCTTGAAAAACTCGGTGTGGCGGCTCGAGAGCGCGATGAGCATGGTGAATGAGGCTAGAACCCGATCGAATGGCGTGAGAGACGAGGCCCGTTTTGCGGACTGTGAGGAGATGATGGACGTATCAAAGGATCGAGTGATGAGTTCAATAGAGGAACTAAGAGGTGGAAACCTTAATCTTGAGTCGTACTCAAACGTTCATACTTGGCTAAGCGGTGTGCTTACAAACTACATGACATGTTTAGACAGTATTAATGATGTCTCCGTCGATTCTAAACTTAGTGTCAAGCCAAAGCTCGAAGACTTGGTTTCTAGAGTTAGAGTGGCTCTAGCCATTTTTGTCTCCGTCTTGCCTTCCAGAGACGAGGTCGCTATGATCTTTCCCACTCACTTTCCGTCTTGGCTAACTTCTCTCGACAGGAAGCTTTTACAATCTGATCCCAAGGTAATCAAAAACCAATTCTAAATCTCACTAACTACAACAACTAATTAATCTGGCAGATTGCATTTTTTTAATAACTCTCTCCGTTTCTTGAAGATCTATGTTTTGAGATTTTCACACTTGAACATAATAATTTGCAATACCAAGTACATATAACGTCACTTTACTAATTAAAAATGTTATTTAATTAAGATTTGCATTGTACTGAATTTTATTTGTTTAGGTAAATTAGGAATGAATCATTATATTTACATAGAAAATTGAAAACAATTCATTTTTGCGAAACGATATAAAACATTTATTTTCATGAAACGGATGGAGTACTGTAGAAAAGTAATAATGAAATGTAAAAAGTTTTTTTTTCTTTTTCTTTTTGCTAAACGAAATGTGAAATTTTGATTGAACTTTAATTAACAAAAAACAGATTTTGTATACAAATTCTCAAAATCTGACCCTTCATTAGATACTCGAAGTGACCGCAAACGTCATAGTGGCAAAAGATGGCACCGGAAAGTACAAAACGGTAAACGAGGCGGTGGCTGCAGCACCGGAGAACAGCAATACAAGATATGTTATATATGTGAAGAAAGGTGTTTACAAGGAAACTATTGACATCGGGAAGAAGAAAAAGAACTTAATGCTTGTTGGCGATGGCAAGGACACAACGATCATAACCGGTAGTTTAAATGTCATTGACGGATCCACCACATTTAGATCAGCCACAGTTGGTAATATAACATTTTACTTTCATTTGTGTCTTTTAGAATCTAGACCTTCCCTTACAAAACGAAATAACTATTATAGTATATTCCAAGGCTTTGGATCTCTCATGTAAATGATATACATGTAGTAAAATGTAAAATTTTCTTTCAAATTATTGCTATTTTTGTATCCAAATAACTTACTAGACCGGTTTGAAACCCGTGCAGCCGCGAATGGTGACGGGTTTATGGCACAAGACATATGGTTCCAAAACACGGCCGGACCAGCAAAGCATCAGGCTGTGGCTCTCCGGGTGAGCGCTGATCAAACGGTCATAAACCGTTGTCGCATAGATGCGTATCAAGACACGCTCTACACTCACTCGCTGCGACAATTCTACCGTGACTCCTACATAACGGGTACCGTAGACTTTATATTCGGAAACTCTGCCGTTGTGTTCCAAAACTGCGATATCGTGGCCCGGAAGCCTGGAGAGGGGCAAAAAAACATGGTGACGGCTCAGGGAAGGGAAGATCCGAACCAGAACACAGCTATTTCGTTCCAAAAATGTAAAATAACAGCTAGCTCTGATCTTGCTCCGGTAAAAGGATCCGTGAAAACATTCCTTGGAAGGCCGTGGAAGTTATACTCAAGGACAGTGATCATGCAATCTTTCATTGGCGACCACATTGACCCGGCTGGTTGGTTCCCATGGGACGGTGAG